ACACAAGGGTTGAAAACACAAGGGGAATATAATAAGCAAATGAAGATAGAAATCTAATGAGCAGCAACAGTGAAAGGGGAAAACTGCAGTTCCTCTAATGTCCACTCGAGGCTCCAAAACAGAGTCAATCCCCACAGACTAAACTTTGCAGGAGTTTGGAGGTGTTTTTATTAAAAGTCAAGAGTTTAGATTGTTACACGTGACTAAAGTCAGGGCCATGACTACTTTCTGTGTGACTGAACACAATCATTTGCTCAGTCAGTGTTTTTAAACTCTCCGCATTGCTGTTTCAGGCTGCAGCGACGTAGCGGAGGCTTTCCGGGTGCAGGAGATCGACGGGCAGGCTCTGCTGCTGCTCACCGAGGACCATCTGATGACCAGCATGAACATAAAACTGGGACCTGCTCTGAAGATCTGCGCTCACATCAACGCACTGAAAAACCAATGAGAGACAAAGAAGAGAAACAAAGTGAGGAAAAGAGAAAGCGTTTAAAATGGAAGAGGGGAAAAAAGGCAATAAAGACGCGAGGAAAAGAGAGAAATCGGCGGAAGTCAAAAGCTGACACCAAGGACGACAGAACAAAGTCACAAAAAGAGATTTGTGGGAATTTATAATTTATGAGATTATAAATGTAGGCGTGGCCTTAGCAGATGGGAACTGGAGAGGAGTGCGGGAGCATGACGACACCAGAGTCCATGAGACGTCTCACCAGTTTTGGGCCCTCCGACTGTAGCAGGAGACGGGGGGGGTTTTGTAACTTTGTGTATATTTTACATGCCGCTGGAGAGTGTACATTTGAAGCTATTTGATGAAGGATTTTGAACATTTAATATATAAAATTTGTCTATTTAGTTTTTTTAGAACGTGACGTCAGCAACAAATCTATCCAGTAGCTAAACATAACCCGTGTGTGTAAAAGGAAAAAAAAACAATAATGCGTAGACTTTGTAAGTGATTAATGAAAGTTTAATGTTTTATATCACTATATTCTGGACAAAGACATGTCTGTGTATTAAAAAAGTCACTATCAGGGTAGAGGCTGGTGTCTTTAATCGTCACATTTTTATGGTATCCTGCTTGAAATTATTTAATAAATGAATAATTGATCATCAAACGATTTATTTATCTTGTTTTAAATTAATTCCCAAGTAAAATACCTTTTACTAGCTCAGTGAAAGCGCTCTTTCTAACAAAAATGTGCATAAACACTTCAGAAAATCGACACGTGGAGCAGATGTTCCACTGAGGAACGTCGTCGGGCCGCCTCCTCCTGGTTTCATGGATGAATAAAACGCTAAAGTTAAAGTTGGCACAGTTTCACAGTGTAGTGGTTATCAGACCCACTTTGTTGGGGTGTGGAACGATTGAGAGGTTCTGGGATCCCCCGTAGTGCAATTTACCCCAGTACCTACAAACTGGCTGCTGCAGGTATAGAAACAGGGCTCTGGGGTTAACTTGGACTTCACTTCAATTCAATTTTATTTATATAGCGCCAAATCACAACAAAAGTCGCCTCAAGGCGCTTCATAGATACAGAGAAACACCCAACAATCATATGACCCCCTATGAGCAGCACTTTGGCGACAGTGGGAAGGAAAAACTC